GGGGCCACGAAGGGCAGATGATGCGGGGCCACAGAAGGCAACGACGGGGCCACTGAGGGTAGCAACTGGGCCACGTAGGACAGTGAGGAGGCCACAAAGGGCGACAGCGGGGCCACGAAGGGCATGCAAATGGGGCCACGACTGGCGCGAACGAGCGGGGCCACGAAGGGCATACGTATATGGGGCCGCGGAAGAAAAGGACGGGGCCACTGCGGGCAGTAACGGGGCCACGAAGGGCAGCGAGGGGGCCACGAAGGGCGACAGCGGGGTCACGAAGGGCATGCATATGGGGCCACGACGGGCGCGAACGAGCGGGGGGCACGAAGGGCATACATATATGGGACCACGAAGGGCAGCGAGGGGGCCACGAAGGGCTGCAACGGGGCCACGAAGGGCAGCGAGGGGGCCACGAAGGGCGACAGCGGGGCCACGACGAGCAGCGGTGGGGGCACGAAGGGCTGCAACGGGGCCACGAAGGGCAGCGACGGGGCCACGAAGAGCTGCAACGGGCCACGAAGGGCAGCGAGGGGGCCACGAAGGGCTGCAACAGGGCCACGAAGAGCAGCGGGGGGGGCCACGAAGGGCTGCAACGGGGCCACGAAGGGCAGCGAGGGGGCCACGAAGGGCTGCAACGGGGCCACGAAAGGCAGCGAGGGGGCCACGAAGGGCTGCAACGGGGCCACGAAGGGCACCGAGGGGGCCACGAAGGGCTGCAACGGGTCCACGAAGGACAGCGAGGGGGCCACGAAGGGCTGCAACGGTGCCACGAAGGGCAGCAACACCCCGATTCCTAAGTATAATCTGTGAGGGAGTCCTAAGCGTGAACGCGACTCCTGGGTGCCTGAGTGTCGGGAGCGCGGTGCTTAAGTAAATTGCGGGAAATTCCAACGCAAGGGCGCTATTCTTCAGTAAATTGCAAGCAAGTCTCCAGCGAGAGCGCGACTCCAAAGCGCCGAAAGAGCGATTCCTGAATAATTTGTCAGGAAGTCCCAAGCGAGAGCGCGATTCCTGAATAAAATGCGAAGAAATCTCAGGCGAGAGCGGGGGTACTGGCTAAATTGTGGGGAAGTCTCAGGCAGGAACCGTTGTTGTTGTAATCCGGGGGCCAACAACACAATTTGAGCGCCGGGAGGGGCACTTCAATGAAAAATACAATGCGCACCAGAGGGGGGATCAAAAAAATAGATTCTTCAATAGTGAGACTTCAACAACAACCACAACAACAATAACAACCATAACCATAAAAACAACAACCACAACCACAACAAAAACCACAACCACAACCACAACAACAACAAAAACAATAATTTTAAGACTGTCCGCTCCTATCTGCTCACGTGCCAATCAATATGTATATCCCAAACCCTCGGTACCCGCCTTCGCCGTCTTAGATCGTACCCCCTTGGGGGTATGTCTTCCTTACCTGCCACGTGCATTTAGTGCAGCCCCTAAACCAGGGAAGAGAAGACGCGTGGAGGGGGGAGGGAGAAGAACGCAGCACGAGAGAAATTAGCAGGAAGGGGGCCAGGAGCACGGTATTGGTTCCTTGCCCTCCTCTGACCCCCTCCCTCCCACTGTCGAGCACGCGGGGGGCGCAATCCTTAATCTTGAACCGCACCCTGTTGGATAGCGGGCTCTCGCGGCCGGCCAGGTCGTCCAGGCGATCCGAGAGCTGCGCTATCAGCGGCCTGAGAAGAGTGCCCACGCGCGCAGCCGTCTGCCCCCCCCCCGCTTTCTCCCCGTCGTCCTCTCCTCCTCCTCATCATCATCAGCAGCAGCAGCATCAGCATAAGCATCATCATCAACAACAACATCATCAGCATCGTCGTCATCATCAGCAGCATCAGCATGATCATCATTATCATAGTCATCATCATCATTATCAGCAGCAGCATCATCAACATCAGCATCACCATCAACATCGCCATAATCAACATCCTCATCATCAGCCGCAGCAGCACCATCAGCATCATCACCATCAATATCACCAGCAACATTATCATTACCGTGACCAGCTGCAGCACCAGCAAGATCGTCATCATCAGAGTCGTCATCATCAATAGCATCATCAACAGCAACATCATCATACCTATACGACCACCCTGCGGGTGATAAGGAGGTTTGGGGGGGCGCCTTACGACGCCTTACGATTTGCATTTGGATATGCATGCATTTCGATGTGCTTTTCGGTTTGCATATCGGTTTGCATGTAGACTTGCATTGGATAGCTCGCCGCAGCCACGGCGGGACACCAGCGGGACACTAGCGGGACACCGCGGGGCACCGTTTGTCGGGTGGAGAGACTTTTGGTCCGGCCGCGGCCCGGCCACAGGAGGATTTCGGGACACCAGCGGGACACCAGCGGGACACCGCGGGACACCGTGTGCCGGTGGAGAGGCTTTTGATCAGGCCGCGGCCACGCCACAGGAAGATTTCGGGACACCAGCGGGACACCAGCGGGACACCAGCGGGACACCGCGGGCCACCGTTTGCCTATGGAGGGACTTTTGGTCCGGCCGCGGCCCAGCCACAGGAGAATTTCCCCTCGCCCGCCCACCCAGCTTCGCCTCGCCCGCCCGCCCGCACGCACGGCACGCTCGACACGAACCCGAAACCGAAATCGATTTCCCGGTAGGGGGGGTCTCCGGTTCACGTCGGACTCACCCCCCCAACCTCCGAATCATGATCATCATAACCATAATCAACATCATCATCATCATCACCATCATCATCACCCCCCAACGGGCCCGAAAACGGCTCCCAAAAGGCCCCCACACGGCCCCCAGGAGGCTCCCGAGAGGCCTCCCGCGACATCCCAACGAACATCCCACGGGCCTATGGCGGCATGGGCCGAAGTCCATTAGAGACGCGTGACAACTCGTCATTCAAAAACCTGTTGAAGGCCGCGTTGACGTCCAGCGCTCGCAGTACATATGGCAACTCCCACACCAAATACCACGGCCTGGGTCTCAGCAAGCCTCGAAGCGAAGTGTCGCGGTTGGACTCACAACTTAGAATTGCCACACCACTGTCTGAGCATGGAACAAGTGTAACATAATTAAGCGAACTCGACGGACTTTCACGACTTCCAAAACGCCCCCGATACTATGGGCGGGTCTTCGGGCTCTGATGTTTCATTGGCGTGACTCGACGTGTGTTTCTCCTTCTCGGGTGCATTTTCGGAGAAGGAAGAGGAAAGGTGAAGGGAATGACCGCGGAGATGAAATCGCTTGTTTTCAACGCGGGTGGCCGGGCTACTCCACGGAAGCACCCACAGCAGAACTGAAGACATATGCGACAGCGCCAACGCTGAGCCACGCTGTGGAACCGCCCACTTCACACGAAAGCGTTGGCGGTCCCACAAGAAAGAGCAGCGGAGGAGGAAGATTGTTTTGCCAATTCTCCGCCAAGACAGGAGCTTCCGCAAACGGAGGAAAAGGCACAGCGTGTTCGTGTCACCATTGGTGATGTGCTTCTTGGAGTATTTTCATGCTCAGTTCGTGCGACTTATTGGTGATGTACTTCTTTCCGCCACTGCTTAAGCAGATGCGCTGTTAAGCTAAGCCAACATCTGAGCAAGCAGAGAAAAGGCCCAGCCGGCGGGCGCGCGCGCGGAGGGCGGCGCGATCCTTCTCACGAGACCGCGGCCGAAACAGCTTCGATAAGACAACGATGTCCGGCGGCGGCGGGACTTCGACGCGGCGGCAACGCAGGGGCGCGACTGAGTCAACTCCCCCCGCGGCCTCCCCAGCGAGCTCCACTAGCCAGGGAGGGCGTCAACGATTTGCCAGCGCCCCGAATTGCGCTCGCATAGCGGCCCGTCGCGCCGCGCCTGGCGGGCAGCCCGCCCGCCACCTGGCTCGCAGCGCTCCGAGGCGCTCGGTGCATAGCACGGATGCGCCGACAGGACACTCGCAGCATAGCTGCGAACGCCTCTCCTCCTCTCTCGCTCAGCCCCAACTCTGGCCGCCGCGGCCCCAGCTGCTGTAGCCTTGCAAGTTGCCTGAGCCCCGGCCCCACGGCGGATAGGAGTCCGCGCTCGGCCGCAGATCGTCGGCGTTCTCGCGCCGCGGCGGAGCGAGGTCCGCGCGCTGCCGTGATGCGTCGGCATGTTCGCGCCATGGCGGAGTGAGATCCGCGTTCCGCCGTGAATCTCTATCGCCCGGCCGGAGGCCCCGGTGCCATGGCAAAGCTTGATGAAGCAGCGCCCGCTCTTGGGCGCAGATCCGACCGCGTCGGGCTTTCTGCTCGGCGACGCCGCGATTCCTGTCGATCGCCAGGCGCGCGACTGCTTCGCCTCTTTTGCTCCTGCAACGCCACCCCCGGCTACCCTGCCCATGCCATTGACGTCGTCGGTCGTCATTGCTGCCGTGGGGCGGCCCTCAGACCGCGCGGAGCTGGACCTCTTCTCACCTGACTGCGCTCCAGGGTGGACATTCGCACTGACATAGTGAGAGGCGCCTGAGCCGCAGGCCCCCGCGCTGTCGGCACTGGAATTTGCCGGGAATTCCACGGGGGGCCAGCGCTCCTTCAGTCCGCATCCCATCGCAGCTCTCAAAGCAGCGAGCGGCTGGATTTCGGCGCTCCGCCCGGACTCGACGCGCCACTCAGACCAAGCCATGCTGGGCGAATCGAGGTCGCGGCCCTCCGGGAAGGCGCAACCCTAGTCGAACGGCCCGAGGATGGCATGGCCCCCCCTTTCCACAATCCCCCCGCTGACGCTCGGCCGCCAGGCCCTCGGAAGAAGAACAGGATTGCTGCCAGCAGCGGGCGTCTAGAGACGTAAGTTCTGGAATGTGATCCATCTTTGCCCCAGCCTCTTGGCCCCCCCAATTTGCACGGGCCCCGCTGCTCCGGCAGCTCGTCGTCTGCCAGGCGAAGACCGTCGCGATGTTGCTGCAGAACGCGGCCTTGCACTGCAGGCACTAATCTCGGCGGTCGGCGATACCTTCTTCACCGGTGTCTTTCCATTTGTTCTGTGAACGGACACGCGCGCCTCTCCCCCGCACTCCGCGCCACGGGGCCGGAGGCGTAGCCCCGGTGACCCCCCCGCTGGGCCAAGCCGATGTCTCGTAGATTGGTCCGGGGCCAGATCGCGTCGGGGGCCGCGAAAACGTCGCCGCAGTGAACGAGCGCTCTGCGTGCGAGGCAGCTCAAGATACCCAACCGATTGCGGCAATCGCCGCCGCGCAGGAGGCGGCCGCCCCCCCCAGCCCAATGGCGCGCAGCGTGCGCTCTTCTTCTCAATGGGAGCAAGCGCGTCTTCATCGTCAACGAGAGGCGCTCGAACGATCTCCGAGCGTGGATTGATCCAGTCTGCGCATACCGCTTCGAATTCCAGGAAAACTCCGAGCCCCCTGCACCGTCGGCCATGGACCAGGGCCCGCGAAATCCGGGCCCGCTGCACCCGTCTAACGAACGTCGCCCCACCTGGGTCGGAACGTCGTTGCCGAGGAGCCGCCGCGTTGGATCCAGAAAACCTCCTTCTCGAAAATACGAGGCCCGAAGGTGAGCGCGCGAGGCCCCTAGAGAGGGCACGGGTCTGCCAGGTCGAAAATGCGGGCGACCAAGGCCTGACCAGCCACTGCGCGCGCCCAACCGCCAGGCCTGAGCCACGTCGGCAGCGCACCGCGCATTTCACTGCATTGACCGCCCCGCGCTCTCCGTGCCAGCTGAATCGCCCAACCTGAGCCAGGCTCTCCGTCTTTGACAGTTCCTCAGGAGGGGGGCACGGGCCGAGCATGGTCGGCAGGCAGGTCACGAAACGGCACTGGCGCACGCCCTGAAATCCCGCTGCTGCGCCACGGCGCGCCTGGTCGTAGACCTGCGTACAGAGGCACCGCCCAATGGAATAACGATTGCCTGGTGGGAACGCCTTGCTGCTGCATCGCACTTAACATACATTCGCTCAGAGTCCACAACTCGCACTGAGTGACGCTTGCAAGCACGGAACATCAGAAGCACCTTCGCAGGCTTCACCATGGGCGCACTCCCGACAACATAGTCGTCGGTAGGTGGGTCGCGCCCGAAACTGTCGTCCCTATCGTCTGGCTGGGCCGTGGGACCGTCTTCGGCTTCCGTTAGGTGCACGCCAAGTATCTGGACTGTATAGCGTGGTAACTGGGCAAGAGTATGCATGAAGCGCGCCCACGCGTTGTCGTAGCCCTCGCCGCCTAGCATCTTGACAATGCCGGACGCCTCGGCCCACCCACCGCGAACGTGAGACGCGCCGTGCATCGCCAGGTGAACGACGAGCGAGCCGATGCGCCCAGCTTCTTGCACATCCAAATCGCATACCACGCTAGCGCACGCAGCTCACCGGCAAAGTTTATGTGGACGAAGTCATCCTCCGGCTTCGAGAGAGTGGGGCTCGACCGCATTGCAGCGAGCGCGCAGGAACCGACGCGCCATTCGCCCCGTCCTCGGGGGACAGGTGGCGCAAGTACTGCGATAGCGCGTCGCCCACCAGCTCACGGAACAGCTCTTTTCTGGGAATCACTGCCCCGCTTCTGTCCGTCTGCGAAGGACTCGGGGCCGAGTCGTGGTGCTCCTCCAGCTTTCGGGCCGACTCGTTACTCACGACCAACATGCCTGCGGGTGTGTTATTATCAACAAGCGGGGCGCCGAACTTGTCTTTTTCCGCGTGCTCCAGCCCGTGGTGGGCTGTATCCCCTCGCTCCGCTCTCCTCGTCCTGAACTCACCTATCGATATCTGCTGGTTCAATCGTAGAGTCGGAACCCCGCCGAAGCAGAAATATCGGGACGTGAACGCTTCGGGGCGTTTGTTTGAGAGAGCATCGAAAGGAATTAGCGGGGACTTGGGTGCAGTGGGCACAAAGCTCCCTTCTGCTCGGTGCTTCTCATCATCGCCCTGGTCCCCCCCGGCGCCATCCGCCTCTTTGTCCTCCTCTGTGGCCAATGCCTATTACTACCACTACTACTACTACTACTACTACTACTACTACTACTACTACTACTACTACTACTACTACTACTACTACTACTACTACTACTACTACTACTACTACTACTACTACTACTAACTACTACTACTACTACTACTACTACTACTACTACTACTACTACTACTACTACTACTACTACTACTACTACTACTACGACTACTACTACTACTACTACTACTACTACTACTACTACTACTACTACTACTACTACTACTACTACTACTACTACTACTACTACTACTACTACTACTACTACTACGACTACTACTACTACTACTACTACTACTACTACTACTACTACTACTACTACTACTACTACTACTACTACTACTATACTACTACTACGACTACTACTACTACTACTACTACTACGACTACTACTACTACTACTACTACACCTACTACGACTACTACGACTACTACGACTACTACGACTACAACTACTACTACTACTACACTACTACTACTAACCACTACTACTCCTACTACTACGACTACTACTACTGCTACTACTTCTTCTACGACAAGTACTACTACTACTACTACTACTGCTACTACAACTACTACTACTACTACTACTACGACTACTACTACTACTACTACTACTACGACTACTACTACTACTACTACGAGTACTACTACTAATACTAGTACTAGTACTAGTACTAGTACTACTACTACTACTACTACTACTACTACTACTATCAATTCTACTACGGCTACGGCTACGACCACGACTACGACCATTACTACCACCACTACTACTACTACTACTACTACTACTACTACTACTACTACTACGACTACTACTACTACTACGACTACGACTACGACTACTACTACTACTACTACTATTATTATTATTACCACGACTACTACTACTACTACGACGACTACTACTACTAGTACTACTTCGACTACGACTACCACTACTACGACCTATCGACCTACCAACTTACCTTTCTACCTACCTATTACCGACCATATACTACCTAATACTTCTACTACTACTACTGCTACTACTACTTCTACTACTACTACTACTACTACTACTGCTACTACTACTACTACTACTACTACGACTACGACTACTACTACTACTACTACTACTACTACTACTACTACGACTACTACTACTACTGCAACTACTACGACGAGTACTAATACGACTACTACGGCGACTTGTACTACTTCTACTACTACGAAAACTACTACTGCTACTACTACTACTACTACTACTACTACTACTACTACGACTAGTAATAATAATGATACTACTGCTGCTGCGACTAGTACTACTACTACTACCACTACTACTACTACTACGACTGTTACTACTACTACTACTACTACTACTACTACTACTAATACTACTACTACTACTACTACTACTACTACTACTACTACTACTACTGCTACTACTACTACACGACTCCTACTACTACTACTACTACTACTACTGCTGATGCTACTACTACTACTACTACTACTACTACTACTAGTACGACTACTGCTGATACTACGACGACTGCTACTACTACTACTACTACTACTACTACTACTACTACTACTACTACTACTACCACTACTACTGTACTACTATCAACGCGTACGACTATTACGAGTACGACTAATACTACCAATAGTTCTACGACTACCACTACTACTACCGCTGATACTACTACTACTACGACTACTACGACTACTACAACTACTACTACTACTACTACTACTACTACTACTACTACTGCTGCTGCTACGACTACTACTACTACTACTACTACTACGACTACTACGACTACTACTACTACTACTACTACTACTACTACTACTACTACTGCGACTACAGCTACTACCCTACTACTTCGACTGCTACGTCTCCTTTGACTGCAACTCTACGACTACGACTACGCCATCTACAAATAGGACTACAACTACGACTACTACTACTACTACTACTAATACTACTACTACTACTACTACTACTACTACTACTACTACTACTACTACTACTACTACTACTACTACTACTACTACTACTACACTACAACAACAACAACTACAACTACTACTACTACTACTACTACTACTACTACTACTACTACTACTACTACTACTACTACAACTACTACTACTACTACTACTACTACTACTACGAAGACGACGACGACTACTACTACTTACCACTCCTAATCCCACTCCCACTCCTACTCCTACTCCTATCCTTATTCCTTATTAGAATATACTCCTAAAACAATACAAAATCAACATGTTTCTTATTTTTTCCTCTCGACATGGACGTCCTGTCGTCCACGGCGATAATCCATTGCAAAAAATACCACAAAGAGCACACGCTCGCGTTCATGTCAGAATCCTACCGAACACCGTGTGTTTGCAAGCATTTCAACATAAAAACATCAAAAACCCAATGCTTTTTCACAAAAATTGTACAAATTTCCAGCCCGGGCTCTCTTGCTGAAATCATAGGAAAACCATAGGAATCTTAAGAATTCTGTCGAATCCAGCGATTTCACGTCATCGCGCGGTGCACTCGCGATGCTCTGTCATGCACCCAGGCCGCGAATCCTGTGCAAAAAATACCACAAAGAGCACACTCGCGCGTTCATGTCAGAATCCTACCGAACACCGTGTGTTTGCAAGCATTTCAACATAAAAACATCAAAAACCCAATGCTTTTTCACAAAAATGCTTTGGGGTGTCCTGTCAGACCGTCGGGCTTCCTCCGGCCACCTCTGGCTTCCTGCGGTGTACCGGGCCATTCTCGACTCGTCTGGCAATGCGTGCGCGGCATTCAACACGCGCTCGCCAGTTCCCGTCGGCAACCGCCATCGCGGCCGCATCAGCTGTACCAAACCGGCTGGCCGGTGTGACTTCGGCCCCCAGTTGTGCCAGCTTTGCCAGCTTTGCTTCTTATGGTGGGAGGGCGGGTGCTGGGCATGCCATGCTTGACTCGCTCGAGCTGGCTAGCTTGACTCCTACTTCTACTCCTACTCCTCCTCTTCCTCCTCCTCCGTCTCCTCCTCCTCCTCTCCTCCTTCCTCTCCATCATCCTCCCTTCCACTGCGCCCAGGGGGGAGTCCGAGGTGCCGCGGAGCGGGCCGCCCCTGCGGCGGCCTCCCGGACGCGGTGCCCTCCAGCTTGCAGCCGACGACCTGCAGCAGCTGCAGGGCGCACTCCACCAGGGGCTCCTCGCGCCGGCAGCCGCGGCGCGTCCACGCGCACGGCTGGCGGAGTCGCACCCTGGCCCGTATAGCAAGGACGCGCGCGAAGGATGCTGGCTTTCTGAATTCGCCTCTTGAGTTTAAAAGGCGCGTTGTTTGAATTACAAGTCTGGTTTTGCACAAAACTGTTTATTGAATTCGGCCTTGAACTCCAAAAACTGGTATTCTGAATTCCAAAGGAGACCCCGCGACGGTGTCAGATGTTCCAGCGCCAAGGTGGACCTGCAGGGGCAGAGTTCGAAATGGGTCGCAGACTGGATTCCTGGGGAACGGTGGCTGTGGCTGTGGCTGTGGACTCCTGGGGAACGGAGTCCCGAAACGGTGCGGTGACAGACCCTGCGGTGACCTCGAAATCCCCCAAGGTCTCACCGCACGGTCCGTCACCGCACGGCCTCGGGACCCTGGAGGCCCCCGTCGCCCGAGACGTCCTCGGAGGACGACCCGAGTCCCAAGACCATGCGGCGACCCCGAATCCCCACCGACTCACCGCACGGTGTGGTCACCGCCCCGTCTGGTGGCCCCCGATCTGGCGTTCACGCACTCACGCCCACCACTCTCTGGAGAGGCTCCCAAGCGCCCAGGGCAGGACTCCGAGGCGGCGAATCGGCGGCGGTCCTGGGGAGGTACGTGAGGCAGGCCCCTCGTGCCCTCTGAGAATGCCTCTAAGCCTCCTCCGAGGGCACCGGAAGCTGCTCGGAAGCCCCTGCGCCGTCTGAGAAGCCCCGCCGCCTCCTGAGAAGGCGTGCTCCCTCTCACTTCCACCGTGACTACCGCCAAGCCGCCCCCATCCAACCCGAAGACCCAAACTTCGGGTGGGGGGGGGGGGCGGGTTCCACAGATGCTTTTTTCCCATGTTCCCAGACGCCCCCCCTCCCCTGGGAGTGGAGGGCGAATTGGGTCCTTCGGGTTGGGTTGGGCTGGCTTGGTGGGCGGTGGCCCCTGGGCTCGCCGCGGAGCGAACACGGACATGCGGCGGCGGCGGCGGCGGCGGCGACGGCGACGACGACCGCTGCGGCGACGACGACGACGACGACGACGACCGCTCTGGTGGCGGTGGCGGTGGGCTCCTGGCCCACGCCCGGGCGCAGTCGCAGGGCGCACTCCTGAGGGGGGGGGCGCGGGGGGCCGCGCCCGCCGCAGCGGGCGCCCGCGGCGGGGGCCGGGCTGGGCCGCGGGCCGGGGGCTCCCGGGAGGGCGCGGCGGAGGGGCGGTCTGAGGCAGCATCGGCGGCGAGGCCGAGAGGGAAGGCGAATGAAGGCAAGGCCGTCTGCATGCCAGCTCCGGTGCCGGAGCGGCCCCCTGGGGGGCAGACGAAGGATCTCGCGCAGGGAGGGCCAAACGCCGCGTGGGCAATCTCTGACCCACCCATCAGCGACAACGCTTTCGCCTGTTCTCGGCGGCCTTCCAATTCCCGGAGAGGCTTCCCGGCAGCCGCGCCTCGCCGAGGGCGCTCTGGGGGGTGCCCAGAGCTCCCTGGGAGGCCGCCAGAGGGCCGGAGCTGGTGGCCGCAGGCCAAGCTCGGCGGCGCGCCCGAGGGGCAGCTCGCAGGGGCGGGCCTTCCCAGGAGGCTCGGAAGCCCCCCCTGGACTGCGGAGAAGTTTTCGAAGCGAAGCCTTGGCCGAGGACGCCGATGTTTTTTGTTTTGGTCTGCGAGGCGAGAGCGAACCTCTTCCGCTAAAAGCTAGGCGGGCTACGCACTGCTCTAATTGGGGAGACAGGGCACAGGCGGGCGGGGCCTCAGGCGGCCGGAGAGGGCGGGGCCCAGGTTCCCCGAAGACACAGAAAACTCCTGAAGGCGCGGGGGCTTCTGAGAAGCCCCGCCGCCTCCTGAGAAGGCCTGCTCCTTCTCACTTCCCCGACTCGCTCGCCGCCGAGTCACGCCCCATGCTCTGCACAGGGTCAGAAACATCCCCTGCTTGGTCCACAGGAGGTCAGCGCCAAGGAAGGGCCTGAGAAGCCTCGAGCCCATTCAGCTCTCAGAAAGCCAGAGGCCTTCTGAGAAGACCCGCCGCCTTCTGAGAAGGCCTTCCCCTTCCCATTTCTCACGAACTGCCCTTTTCCTTGAAGCATGTCTCCTGCACGCGCACGTTCCAAACTGCTCGGAACAAAAGCGGGATCGGGGGGATGTGTGACGAGGGGGGCAAGGATATCCAGGACCTCCGCCATCCCATTGCCCTATCTCTTCGGGAATAGATGCCGTGCGAGTCTGTAGAGATACTCTCGATGATTATATTGGTCAAGGTAGTGAGGCACGGCTCGCTAGGGTCCCTGAGCTGCTACTGACCGAAAAAGGCTGCAAGATCCACAATACCAATAAGTCAAGCTGTGATGATCAAACATGTCGTGCGAGTTATGGGTGGGCTCAACCTGCTGCAACGTGTAAACGATAGCCTTAGGGGACTCGGGGGGATTGGAGGGAAAGGGGCACGCAACGTATGATTTTTGACCTGGACCGTGGGGGGAGGGGGGGGAGAGGGTGATACACGACGAGAGGGGAGGGGGAGAGGGGAGAGGAGAAGGCACTGCAAGCTAAGTGCGCTCGCGCCATGTCTCAAATCCTACCCCTCCCACCCACACATCGCTTCCCATAACGCAAACATGGTTTCGTCCTGCGACCGTATCATAGCGGATTTAGAACCCCCCACATGAGCTCATCGTGTTACACGTAGTCAGAAAAGGAAGCTGTGCACATCGGAGGCGGAGGAAGAGACGGAGGTGGCGGATGAGCAGGAGGATGGGAGGAAGGAAATGGACGATAGGGAGGGAGGTGGGGGAAGAGGAAGAGGAACAGCAGCAGCAGGAGCATGAGGACCAGGATGCGCAGGAAAACAAGAAGAAAGACGCCATAAGCATGACTGTTGGCGCTCCGCGCGGATTTCTTAGATCTGCGCTGCACCCCCCTCCCTGGCGCGCGGAATGCACTGGGGGGGGCCCAGCGAAGATCCAAGAAACCCGCGCGGAGCGCCAAAACTTTATGTTTATGGCTCTTCCTTCTTCGGAAACAGAATGGCCCTGCCTTCATCGTTTCAGCGCCTTCACTGTCCGCAGGATGAAGAACTGGTACTGGGGAAAGCCCCGCGGAAAATTTGAAGCCCCATGCCGAACGACAGGAGGCTCAGAGCCTGCGCGTGAACACACACACACACCACTCTCGGGGGACGCGGGGCCGCGACTGCACAGGCTCAGGCGCGAGGGGAAAGTGGTGCCCATGCTGGATCACTGTACTCGAGATTTCGTAATAAAAGGGAGGGGGTCTGGACCCTCCAAGACAAGCCATTTCAGACCTCCCCCGTGGGAGAACCCTCCAAAACATCGTCCCCAGACCCCCCCAGGCCCTCCAAGATAGCCTGGAAGAGACCCCCCCCGAAATGAGACCCCTCCCTTTATTACGAAATCTGGAGTACCCAGTCGGACCTGGGACAGAAGAACAGTTCTCAAGAGCATGCGACCCTCCGCCGGCCCATACTGAAGAACCTCCGAAGGTGCCCTCCTCCTCCTCCTCCTCCTCCTCCTCCTCCTCCTCCTCCTCTTCCTCCTCCTCCTCCTCCTCCCTCAAGCCGCTTGGGCTCGAGCAGCGGGTCAGAGGCCTGGGGGCCGACTGCACACCCGTTCCCGAGTCCTTCCCTGTACCTCAGAGTGGTGTTTGAGTGCGTTCGCCTGCAATCCAGACACTTTTGCAGGCGTTCGCGAAAGCAGGGATGATGACTCCGCCGCGTGCCAGGCCATGGACACGTTGCGGCAATTGCCAGAAGTGCGAGTACAACGATAAGCTTCGCTCCAATAGCATGCAATGTCCGAGCTGCAGTCACCTGATCAAGAAGCTGTTCAAACCCCACGGGCCTCGTCAAGTGCGCTTCGAGGACGAGTCTGATTGGGAGAACAGCAGTGTGGGCAGCAATCGTTCTCGCGGCCAAGGCCGCAAGAACAAGGGTCAGGCCGCAGCACAGCTGGACGAGCTCTTGGAGAAGGCCCTGCGCACGGCGCAGGATGAGGAGATGAAGACGGCGCTCGCGGCCCAGCGCAGCCGCCTCGCCACGCTCCCCGCTACCTCCCACGAGTCGGCAGCGGAGTCGGTCAAGCGTGCCGACGGAGCGTGGAGGGCTGCCAGCCACAGACACGAGCAGCTGGTGTCGCAGGTGCTGAGGCTGCGCCCCCAGCTCCAGGCCGCCGAGGCCAAGGAGCAGAGCGCGGCCAAAGAGCTGGCGCTCGCCGAGAGGACCAAGAAGGACGCCGCCATCGCCCTGGCCAAGGCGGAGGGGGTCCGCGGCCCCGAGGTGGCGCAGCAGGGCAATGGCGTCGGCCAGACGCCCACCATCAGCATTCAGATGAACCCAGAGGTGTTCGACAAGTTCGAGGAGTGGGAGTGTGAGGAGTCTGACAAGCAGGCTCTACGTCAGCTCATGTCAGAGCTGGAGATGTGGAAGCAGAGTTTCGAGTCCAAAGACGCGGAGCTCAAGAATTTCTTGGGCAAGGTGGCCAAGGCCGAGGCCGACGTCCTGGACAGGACGAAGAAAAAGCGGAAGACCAACGAGGGCGAGTCCACCGACAACGGCGGCGGCAGCGGTGCCTCGGGCAGCGGCCCCTCGGGCGGGACGCAGCCAGCTGGTGCTGCCGAGGCCGCGGCCACGGGCCACGCGCAGACGCCGTCGGAGGCGGAGATCCAGGCCGAGGCCGAGAGGCTGTCGCAGGAGCGCTTCCAGGCGGCGGCCGCGGCCAAGGCAGCAGGCAAAGGTGCTGCTGCTGCTGCCCCGAAGGCTGCAGCCAAGCCACCAGGGGGCAGCGGCGCTGCTGGAGTCGGCAGCTCTTGACTAGATTCCGCAAGTGCCGACGCTGTTGCGGCGAATCAGCAGCAAGGGGGAGCCAGTGTTTCTACTGGCACGACAACTTCGACCAGGATGTTCTCCTCGAACGCCACCTGCATGGGCGACAAGGCCTGGCACTTCCTATCAGCCTTATCGTCCAGCCACGACTTTCTAGCAGTGTGTGAGACACACGTGGGGAAGCAAGGCTTGAGCAAGTGGTCTTCACGCGCTCGACAAGCCTCGCTGAAGTTTTTCGCCCCTGCTGCTCGGCCGAAGTCCAAGTGGATCAAGCCAGACGAGCAGATGGACAGTCATAGCAACGAAGGAGGAGAGTGGTTCCTGGCCCGCAACCACCGACCAGTTCAATATCTGTCTGAAGCTCAAGCTGCAGGTGGCCTCCGTGCTGAGCGAGGCAACATGTACGACGGGCTCGTGCCGTGCATCGTTCACATGAGGGGGTTCTCCCTGGCCATTTTCAGCTTTTACGGCCATTCAGGCGTAGGATTTCGAGGTTCGAATGTTGTGCGTTTCAGGAAGCTTGGTTGCCTGCTCCGATCTTTACAGATTCCCTGGATTGTAGCAGCCGACTGGAACCTTTCTCCAGACAGTAGTATGCGTTCGGGATGGCTTGAGCGTGTTGGTGGCCAGATCGTGTGCTCTGATGCGCAGTACACATGCACACCAGGTGGAGGTAAAACGCCCAGCCATCTCGATTTTCTCATTGTGAGCCATGCTGCACGCGCATATGTACGCCACGTGTTGCCAGTTGTCGCCGTGCCATGGAAACCTCACATCGGTCTCAGCATCGAACTCGTCTCAGAAGGTGCACAATTGTACACTAGGTATCTTGACCTTCCTGCCCAGCTTCCGTTTGTCTGTAAGCCCCTCCGTCTGGCGACCCCAGGGTCCAAGGCCGGCGTGGCCAAAGCCAAGAGGGCGTTTTCAAGGTTGGAGGCCAAGCAGGTTCGGGACGAGCGTTTCAAATCTTGGTTTGGTCAGGGGCTCGGGCTCGAGGAGAAGGAGGCGGAAGATAATCGCGGCTCAGGGTCTGGTCTCGACCCCTCCTCGCTTGCTCCCCTTTCGGCCCTCAGCGACGCGGACGCCAACTTCTGTGAAGGAGGTGAACCCGACTGCTCAGGCGACGACTGGGAGGGCTGCTCGGAGGACGACCCGTGGGCGGACGAGACCGTTTTCAGACCCGCCGCGCCGCCCCCCTCTGCCGCCCCTGATCCGTGTCACACAGTCGGACAGTCAGTGGAAGTTAATTCGGTCCCGCGTGAGCCTAGTTCCCCGAACCCAGC